GGTTGAATGCATGGGAAGGCTAAGCATGTCATTGTCATGATAAACACCAGCACCAGAGCATCGTAAATACGTATATCTTCGAATCTCACTTCTGCCACCAGCTTTCACCCTTAAACAATCATCACATGGAAACAGAAGGACAAATATAACATGGCCAGCTTCATCTTCTTCACGCCTCGCCCCCTCCCCTCCTCTCTAGATCTGCACGGCCAAACAGCCCTAGTAACAGGCGCCAACCTCGGACTGGGCCTCGAAGCCGCCAAACAACTCGCCGACTGCAGGCTCTCCCGACTGATCCTAGGCGTGCGGAGTCCCCAGAAAGGCGAAGCGCGAGATAAGATCCTAGCGCAGAGTCCATCTTGTACTATTGAACTCTGGCAGCTGGATCAGGGGTCGTTTGAGAGTCTGAGGAGGTTTGGAGAGAAGGCAAGAGAGCTGAATAGGGATGCTTGCTTGGACGGCGGAGCAGGGAGGGAGCTGCACGGGGATAGTAATGGAAGGGGCGGTTATATCAGTGAGCAGGATCTTAAAGAGTGAGTGTTCCCTTTAACTGGATAGGGTATCCGATGCAGCTAACAAGACGTCGTAGTCCCTCGCAGTTTGTTTTGTCAGAGAAGGGGGCGCAAGTTCAGAAAAGGGTTTGAGACGAGACCCTGGAATTATTGAAGGGGGAAGTGTCGAATGCGGACTTGGAGCTTCGATTTCTTGAATGATGGGCTTTATTGCTTTTATTGGGTTGGCATCTTGCATTTCGGATCGCCAAATTGAAATGCAAAACTGCAGTGGTGCGCGTCACGTCCCCATCCATCCTGTGTCCCCTGTACACCACGCATCACTAGACCATGGCCAAGATAGGCGGTAAAGAGCCAGATAGTAGTCTTGCTTGTTAGACTTAGAAGGCAAGGAGAAAGGGGGAACTCTGTACACTGTACTCCATTGGTTGGCATTGTGTACATGTAGTACGATCGCCGTACCCCTGCGTCGCCTGTGGAACGTCACCAGCCGCTATGGTCTACCGACGTAGAATCGTAGATAGTCGAAGCAAGGATTTGTACCTGCAGAAGGCAATAGCTTGCTATAGTGTCGCACCGGTGTTACTCTGCCAGGAGGACAAAGCGCTGCTGGACGGCCAGATATAAACCCCAGTAGATCATCACTGGCCTCGTCGTTCTCCAAACCCTCAATCTACCGCACTGCAACCCGCCACCACAACTCTCATTACCTACCATTTTCATTTATCGCACTCCAATATCTGATTCAATTCAAGCCACCTGACTCTCAAAACAACCTCACGATGAAGCTTCTCGCCTCTGTCCTCGCCCTCGGGCTGTTCCTCGCCTCGACCACCGCCCAAGTGACCGTCAACTCCCCCTGCACGGGCGCCGGATACCAATGCATCCAAGGAAACCACGCGATTGCCTCCTGCGATGGTCGACAATGGAAGCTTGCTGCCGAGTGCGGGAATCAATGCTGTGCTTTCGTGGGTGGTGCGCAGGCCCCCAGCTGTGTTCGCTGCTAGGTTTTCAGAATCCGATATACGCAATCTTTGCAGACTTGAGCAATTGCTTTGGGACCGTTTGGAGAAAATCGTCCATGGGTGAATGTCAACAGCGTCTGGATTGGAAGCTCGGGGATGAAGGAAGCCAGTGAAGTCTCGATATCACATCGAGAGTTGGACGGAGGCAGCAAAAAGATCATGTTTTGATCCGCTTGTTTGTAATAAATTCTTGTTGAATGCATTGTTTGCCTTGAAGGACAGATGCCTGGGTAGCAAGACGCTGCACATCGTAAGGTTTACTTGAAGTTCCAGGATAACCCTGTATTGGCGAGGCGAGGCCGATGCAGCAAGAATAAGATCGCATACCACAACCCTATCTTCCTCGCCGAGGACGCCAGTGAAGCGAGAATACCGGGAGCCCATGGAAAACAAAATGATTGATCTGACTGATGATCTGTCTCCAAGTTCATTGTCCCAGGCTTGGGGTGGGTCCAGGTGGTTTTGTGGGTCCTATCCAGCCCTAAGTCTAACTCTACCCTCGAGTAGGTAGGGTCTGTCTGACAGTGCGACGGCGGCTGTCCTCGAGAAATTTATTCCAGCAAGGCTGCTGATACGGACATGTCCCACGCCCAGCAGTCTGCCCTATTGCGGACTGCCAGTCGCAGTGTCTGGGGTTTTAGGTATTGTGATTCATGGCTGAAAACTCCCCAATCGCTCAGCGTTATCAATCTGACTGCCGGAGATGACGCTGAGAAGTTCCTTCGCATAAGCCGCTGCCGTCGTCGCTGCATAGCCCTGCCATAGTTTGGTCTTGTGGGAATCAGAATAATCGCAGATTCCCCGAATAACAAGGCATGGGAACACATCGACGATACCAGCAGCCTCCATTTCAAAGCAGAGCACGTTAAGGTCGTTCCTTAGTTTCTCGCGGGTTCTCCCGTCTCTCATGACCTGGTTACCAGATGCAATGAGGCCGTAGTGTATGTATGGGGAGTGAGAGCTGCGAGGTTTCCGATCAATCAGGTTGGTAGAGTCGCAAGATTGGCAGGATGACCCCGGCTTCGCACCATGGTCGTAGTCACTCTTATAGAGAACATCATGCTCACTGCCAGGATGGGAAAACTTCGAACTCAAATGGGGATATCTGTCAAACATGCCGCTCAAATGGCGGGTTAGATCCGCCCCGTTGCGATAATGATCTGCTTTGAGTCGTGACATTGCTGTCAAGAGCACGTCGGGAGGTCGGTTCAGGGAGCCCGTACGGAGTACTTCTCCGTTTTTAATAGTTTTTCCAAAATCGTACTGAATGACTCCTCCATACGGTCCGTTGGGTTCTCCAACGACGACATCTCCCAATCGGATATCTTTTTCACCAGGAACTCCCCCGCCAATGCCTACCATCAAACCGAACCTGAGCCATCTGAATGTAGATCGCATGTTATTCGCCACCCTAGCTGCGGAGACCGTGCCCATAACACCTGATGGAAGGCACGCCATGACCACATTGTGCGCTCCCATGCGTCCCAGGGTATAATTGTTGAGATCGGAAGGGTCCTGTGGTAACGGCGAGTGTAGGTCATCTAGGAGTGCCTGTGCAGCGGCTAATTCTTCCGGGAGGGCACAAATCCATCCAACGGTATAGTCTTGATGTCTCGGACACGTATCAATGTTGCTTGTCAAACGCTCAGAGGAAGACCAAAAGGTGGAAGTCCTTGAAATGGCTAGGCTGTCCTGTGGAATGGACTCACTCTGCACTGGCGTGCTAAGCTCGGCAGACTTGATGGAATTGGGGATGGGCTGTCGCATTTGCCCCCAACGACTAAGATCCATAGTCTGAGCAACCTCGTCCAGCTTGTCGATTTGAATTGTGTTTCCAAACCCCTGGTCGAGTTCGTCCTCGAGGGGCTGCACGATCTCATCATAAATCAACATCTTCAGATCGTCTGAACTAAGCTCTTCGTCAGTTTCGTCGAACCCAATGTCCGGGTCCAGACATCTATCGACTGCCTGTCGGTAGTTGTCCGGAAAGTCAGCCTTGAACCGTTCATACACAGCAATCGCGATTGAGTATCTTGTATTGTCATCGACAGCTTCCCAGTCTTCGAACTCCATGCCAACCTGTTCCGCTAATGAATGAACGGACTGTATCAGGTATAGTTCCATGAGCAGTATTGCCAGCATGACAAGGTCCAGATAGGGGTGTGACGGTAGGTCATCAGGGTCTAGTTCATCGGTTTCACTGCTGGGCGCCTGCATGTACTTTTCACTTAACGCCGAGTGTATATATGGTTTAAGTGGGATTGTTGCGGAAGTGCCGAAAAAGAGGATATTGTCGGCGTTGAAGCTAGAGGGCCGCAACCACGGTGTCGCATGAAGATGTAGAACAGAGTAAGCGAGCAGGACTGACAGGACTCGCTTTACTTTCTCCGTCATACTAGCCGGGCGTTCCTTGATGATATCTGCGAGGGAGATCTGCGGGTCCGATTGACTGATTGGCCGTTCAATTCGAGAGGACTGGTCTTTCCAAAGCTTGCCGTCTTCAACCGCCAAGTTGAGGCGCATCATGGGCTTTGACTTCAGCTTCTCAAATTGGTCACATAGTCTAACAACGGCCAAGCGGCGACGCCGGCGATGTTGGCTTTTCTCGCTGTTGGTTTCCCGTACCGCAAACTTGACAGTCGCTTTCTTCGCAGACTGAAGGTCGGAGATCATGGCCTGGATTCGCGTTTCTTGCCAGATGTGGCAGGTCAGGTTGAGTGTAAGAAATACCTCGAATTCACGTTGATCATCCACTTGTTTTTGATGAGTCGACAGCCGCAGCCGAGCGGCGCAATCGTGATTATGCACGGCGGAACATGCTGTTGACGAGGCAAAAAGTGCCTCAAACACAGTGTTGGCGCACGTATACACCGATAACGGCTTTTTCCCTTTTTTTAATCGAGCTCGACGTTCCACTGCCACAGGCTCATCGCATTGCAGGGTCTGCAAAGTTGCAACACACCCGCGAAGTATAAGTACCATCTCGGCTCTTCGCTCGTGACAGCTAAAATCCAGGCACTGCTGTGTCCAAGCCAGCTTTTTTCCGTTGTCTGCAGCTGCACTCCAATAGTATACCAACGTTGCTAAGCGCCGGAATGGGTTCGAGGACGGAAGTTCAGACTCGTATTCAGGTAAAACCGAATGGCGAAAGAACGTTGTCAACTTCTTCAGTAGCAGATGAAAAAGAGAATCGAGGTCACTGGGGCGGGATCGACCGTGACCGAGCGGCGAGAGACAATCGATCAAGATAACACCGTACGCATTGATATGCCCGAAGAACTTGCCCAGGTCACTGTCCTTCTCGGCATCTTGCAGGTCGTCCGCGACTTGGCGGAAGATCGTGAGGGAACTCAGCAAAAGATCGACCTGTCCGAGCCCAGCCATCGCGTCAGCACAAGGCGAGCAATAACTCCGTACGTACCAAAGTTCACAATCCAGGGGAGTCTCACCTGAGTCGCCATCTGGTCGTCGATAAGGTTGCGTGTCAGATCATCTGCCTATGGCAAGGATGGCCTCCGCAAGGAGCAGGTCCATCTCGATATTTTCTCATGAATGGGGAGAGGAGGGAGGACAGGGTCAAATGGACGAGGTGCGAGGCTGTGCGGGGCAGTCGCGCTTGAGGCTCAGCCTCAGCCTCGCACGATCTCTCGAGTCTCCAACTCCAACGGCACCTTGCTACTCCCACAGCATCATCACCATCATGCCTTTTGTCGCTTTAAGGAAGTCTGAGCCATGGAGACTGTCTGGCACGATGGGTCAATATCCGAGTGCGCGAAACTCTGTCTTCAGTCATTCAATCAATGCCTTGCGCAATTCCACCTTCTTTCCCCAAAACAGCAGTCCGCGGTTGACGATCAATCGGGGAGGTTCTCGATATGGTTGTCCAACATCGGTGTCTTCGCTCCTACTCGGGGATCGCTTGACTATCGCCTGCGTGAAGCGCCCGACATACAGCGCCTTGTCCGCCGGCTCCTACGGACGCTGAACGACCAAATACAGCAATGTGAGAATTGACGTCCATGGCCCCTTGTGTGTTCTCAATTAAGCGCCCCTACTGATGGACGCTGAGCAGATATAACACGATTAGGATCCAACCGCCTGGTACAAGAGTCAACCAACGAGATTCCGGCCTCCGAGTCTGAATTCCTGGATTCACTTGTTAGCGGAATGGCCGAGGAAATCACCTTGATGCATCAGCTTTCCAACACGATTCGCAAAGCAAGCAGAGATGGTCAAAATGAGAAGGCGGCAACCGCGTTCCGAATCCTGGATGAAGAAGGTAATGATATCGGACAGTCTTTCATGGATCTTTTCGCGCTTGGGATTATCCAGCGCAGATTTCCAGGTTCCGACCAGGCGCTTCAGAAGAGACTCGCTGCAGCAATGTTAGTTCGTCGAAAACGCATCCTCTATCGTCGGTCACGGTACTTGAAAGCCCCATCCAAAACATCTTCTGCGCCCGACAAACTTGTCCCATTTTCGAGGACAATACAGACTATTGTCGAAGTACCAGCCTTAGTACCCGTTGCACAGACGTCGGAACCAATCATCAAGGCACGAAGCATTGCTAGCTCTCGCGCAGTGACTGCCACCACGCTAAACATTGAGCTTTGGAAAAGAGCGTCTGCCCCGTCAGTCATTAGCAGAGCGAAAACAATACACTGGGCCGGCAGTGAACAGTTTGACTTTCCCCCTCCGCCCCTAGGACCAATACAACGGAGGCTGAAAGCTGTTAAACAACGACACATGGTTGAATACGATGCGCTCATCAATTCTTTACCAAGCTCCGAGCAATCGCACAGAAACGCCCTATTTCAGGAGGAACTTGAGAAAAAAATGGAGAGCGAGAGGATAGCTTGCAACAATGGAAGTATGGAAATTATTTGTCCCTATTGTTGCTGCTCTTTATCGAGTTCAATCGTCACCAACAAGCAGAAATGGATGTAAGTCGGTCCATATTTACGCGGGACTTTATAGACCTGGCTACAGCTTTATAACATACGAGATTCTGACACTGACCCGCAGTGAACATGTCAAATATGACCTCGATCCATACGTGTGTCTCTTCGATAACTGTGCCTCGCCCAGTGATCTGTACAACCACAGTGAGGATTGGTTAAAGCACATGCGTCAACACCGTGTGCGATGGCGTTGTACGGCAAAATCGCACGGCGTATTGAGATTTCAGACCAAAGAAGAATACGAAGAACATATGACGACTAAGCACAAAAGCACCAAGTCACAGCTGGCCATACTCGCGGAGAGAAGCAGCCGATCATCTGGGCCTCTCTTCGAATCCTGCCCATTATGTGGAAAGTCGGGGGACCCTGGCCTCGAGGAACATGTTGCAAGTCATCTGAGGTACTTGGCATTGAAGTCACTTCCTTTCCCCGAGGATGAAGGATATGATAATGGTTCTGAAGATCTAAAAAGTGAATTCCAGTCTTCAGGCGCTCGGACTCGCAGCACTATGCTTGAAGACGGCGATCTCTTGATGTTATCTCCAGAAGATACTCACATGGATGACGTTTTCAAGTCAGAGCACTCAACTTCATATCCTCTTCCGCCCGGGTCTAAAGCTGGTCTCGCGCAAGAATCTGACCAACAAACCGACCCAGGAAGCGAACCAGAGACAAAACTTGAACTTGAGCAGTGGGATCCTGACTTTTCAGACGATCTTCTTTACGACGGATGGTTGAAACTCTCATACAGGCAAAGAGCAAGACGCGAGAAGATGTTGACTAAGAGGGGTCTTCCAATACCTGGCCGCGACTTTCCCCTTGAGCCTGCAGAGGAAGAAGAGCCTGGGATATCAGCACCATCTCCATTCGACGATGAAACAGCTGCTGAACTGTTCAAGGGCTCAATCGAAAACAGGGCCGACCGTGCCAAGTTGGCTGAGACCCTCTTCTCTCATCCACGGTCGAATGCGTCTAAGCAATCTTATCGCCCACCGCCACCCATCCTACCGGTTAACCTTGGGGTGATGGGTTATTCCACTACGACACCAAACTCTTCTGGGTGGGAGTTCATGGATCATGCTCGTAGTACTGATTATGATCCGACATCGGACCCTATCCTCGCGACTCTTCAAGCCGGCATGCTCCCTCGAAATGTAGAGCCAGAGCTGCCACCAAGTAAAAGCTCGGACGGCCCGTCGGTGGATGTGAATAGGGCTGACAGAGGGCTCATTGAATCCACAACAACATCTCTGTACCCGATCTCTGAGGATTCCTTTGACGGCTCGGAGGTTGATATGGTTTCTTACGGTTCTGAACGGCCAGAGCAGTGTCCAATTGTCACTTGCAATTACCACGCCAGAGGCTTTGCACGAAAGTATGACAAACGGCGACATCTGTTGACTCACTATGGAGGGAGCATGATGTGCGGTTTCTGCCCAGATTCTGTCCCTGATGTGTCTAAGAGCTTCGATCGCGCAGATGTGTTCAAGCGTCATTTGGTCGCCAAACATGGAGCTTTCCAGGAAGTATCAGTTGTGAGCCAACATCACACAGCAGTAGTCAGTTGCTCCAATTGCTCGGACGACTTCATCACTGTCCAGGAGTTCTATAAACATCTCGACGAATGTACGATTCGTGCAATTCTGCAAACTAATCAGACAGCGACCATGTCCTCAGATCAATCGAAGAAAGATACCGCAGAGGCAATCATTCAGGAACAACCGCCAGGTGCCCAGCCTTCGCATGATCACCGTGTCGTGGTCACAAAGCCCCCTTCTGATTATCACCAAATATACAACACCATTGATCAGCAGCATCCCTTAGAGGGAACTAATGTAGGAAACGTAACAGCAGCGGAGTCACCTGTACCACGTCGGGTACACTTTGAAGAAGGCTCCGGTTCCTCCTCTATCAATAATGCTTACACAACTCGTATGGATTCCGGACAAGAAGCACAAGTCCGCAGCATGCTTTGTCGTGGATGCGGCAGCGAGTGGACGTCCAGTCGACCTTTGGCATTTGGCTGTCCGAATTGCCTTCACCCTGACATTACACAGGTATTATGCATTATTCATCTTTTCCTTCTCGAGGGGCTAACTAGCGCAGGTCATGGGTCCTTACGAGTCAGGAGCTCAAGTGCGCGCTATTCCAGGCTCAGGTCATGGAACTTTTGATCCCCCCGCAGATTACTGGCAATCTATGCCCGCCACGGACAGGGGTTCTCACGCTGGATCTGCAAAAGAAGCTTTCAATTCTTATGCTAACGCCCGAGATGCCACACTGAGCACTGATGTTCTATTAACTCAATACCGAGACGTATTTCTGGATATGCACTCTGATCTTCCAGAGAATGAGCGGCTTGAATTATGGAAACAGTGGCTTTCTCGATTCCTGCCTGCAGGCTCAGATAGGCCGCCTGATGACAGCAACGCCTATTACCACCAATCTCGTTCAACTGAGTCACAACCGCCACAGCTACCTAGTATCGATCCTTTAACTGCTTTTTCTAACTACAAACCAACAGCCGAGCACGCTCCAATGGCGAATTTCCCTGAAGTACACAGTGCCCCTATCGACCTCCTCACCGAGTATGAAGGGAGGGATTTCGGGAGAGCACAGAGTGTCCCTCTCCTGCTTTCTAATTTCGGCGAAAATGGAGTGGCAGATGCTGGCTCACTGAGCATAATAGGCCAGGAGACCTTTGTCACTGACGCTATAACCGTCGACCGTGCCAATATGGTGGCTGGCTCAGAGAGCGAAGCTAGAGATCAGCGGCTCAAGCGCCCATGGTTCGATCCTGGACTCACCGAGCATGATCACGCGGTAGCCAAATCCCCTCGAACCCATATGAATGAGTTCGCAAGGCCCTCTTGGTTCAATTCGGATTCTTCATGGGGGTATCCTAGTGCAGGCTCCAATGCTTCGCACCAAGAATGCACCCCGTATACACAGATGCCGACCCGATCGAATGCGCCTCCTCCTGAGAACCCAGAGTGGGATAATTTGGGAATAGTATCTAACCGAGGTCATTACTATGATCCGGGTGATTTCCAGTTCCAAAGGGACATGCCAACCGATCAATATCAGGACCCTATCTGGCAACCGCGCAACGGTCTCGAAAACACAAATGCCTTGTCGGATGTCGAGATGCCAAGTATTCTCCCTACACCAGAAAGCACGGCGTGGGGTGCTCCCGGGACAGGGTCTCAACGAACCAATTACCATCTGAATAGTCTTTACTATCACAATAAAGCTATGCAATTCGACGTATTCCAGGCAAACCATAAGGCGCGCGAACGATAGGCCTGCTACGCCTGCCGTGAGCGGAAAGTAAAATGCAACCGCAACTTGCCATGCGACACGTGCGTTGGGCGCGGCCATGCGGAGCTCTGCTCGTACTCCCCTGCAGGCGCCGACATAGATGCCGGCAGCAGTCAGTGGCCCTAGCTTGGAGCGGTCCAGCCCAGTTACCAATCTACAAGCGCAAGCCAAAGCGATGATTCAAGCAGAACACAAGTCACCCCAACTAAAAACCTGCTACCCCTGCCATTTGCGGAAAGGGAAATGCGACGGCAACTTGCCATGCTTCAGTTGCTTTAAGCGCGACCATGCGATGCTCTGCTCGTATGACCGGCCGTGGAAGAGACGCGTTGGGGTGGGCATGAATACGGGATATTTGGATAGTACCATACCGGTACCAGAGAGAACGATGCGAGATTCTCGAGCTGCACTATCACTTCCGCATACGGAGAACTCGCAAACCATAGAGCCTGTGCCAATACCTCGATCCGCATTTCCTCCTCCGCCAACTGGCCACCAATTCCAAGGACTGTGCCAAGCGACATGTTCCCAAGCGATATGTTCCCAAGCGATCAGTTCCACGGCGATATGCCCCAATTTCCCAACGAAGAACTACCCACCAGCCTCGGAAACCCGAGTACCATATCAGAGAGGACGATGCAGGATTCTCGAAATGCGCCGTTACTTCCGCAAACGGACCTAGGAACTCGCGAGCCAGTGCGGTTAGTCCAATCCTCATTTCCTCATCCGCCAACCGATTTCCAGCCGCTTCCAGTCTATGAGCAAACTACCCACCCGCAGCCGCGCCAATCCCCAACCGAAGAGTATTCCCCTCGATTAGATTCGCGCCGTCTCAACTTCAAAGACGACTTGTTCCCTTCGCGCAGTGCATCTAGCCCCGGGGAATCTTGATCCTTGTGGCTTCCATCCCATATCAATTGGAACAGTTAACATCGTTCAGTCGGAGGGCTCATGGGTCCTCGGCCATAGCCAGGGTGACCTGCCGATACCTATCTGGAGGTTCTCGGAAAGTCCCCATGGAGCTTTCATGAGCGCATGAAGCTTCAGACTAAACCACAGGTAAAGAAGCGTCCACCTAGGCGAATGGTTGACGGCAACTCAAAACCCCTCTCCGCGGACCTGCAGCAGTCCGCCAAGGCAATGCATTGAATCCTGAAGCCGTTGACGGCAGTGGTGGCGCCTGCCATCTGAGGAAAAGTTGATAGAGAGCCACGTCTCGGGCAACGGAGAATGGAAGACATGGAGGTTCAGCTCTATCCGCTGCTGCAACATATCTCTTTTTGCGTCCGGTCTACATCTGCATGTTTGTGGTCGAGACCTGGGCGAGGGCGTCTAGCCTACGGAGTAGTCTTACTCAGATATGCCGCCTACCCGAAGGCTTGCCCTTGGCTTAGCCTATTATTTGGCTTCTTGTTGACAGGTTGTGGTCCTGCATGAGCTCAATATTCATCTCTGGCAGCCTATACATGCGCGGTAGAGGCTCCAAGAGGCCCGATCTGCGGTTAAAGACCTCCCTTTTTTGCTAAAGAACTTGAGTCTAGAACTATGATTATGGGGCTCAGCTTTTGTATTGAGTTTCAAGTCTACTCTTGTCTGACAAGCCCTAAGAATATGTAGTAAGAATACACCATGACCTCCGGATCAGAATGAACTGCTCAGCTAAACCTTGACCACAAGCTTAGTCGCACTAACCCCATCCTTGATGATATCCAGCGCCGCGTTCAATCCTTCCAGCCCGCCTTCGACGAGCTGTACCTGTGGGCTAGGAACCACCGTCCCATTCTCAAGGCCAGGCTTCAGCCAGCCATGGAAGACCTGGTTCTTGTGCTGTTCTCGTGCGGCTGGCTCCATTGGCGGCAAGACAAACTTGACCTCAACGCCCTCCATGGAAGGAGCATCCGGCAACAACGGCGGTGCATGCCCAACCTTCCCCAGCTTATCCCCTTTCGTTTCTTTGAGTACATCGAGTACGGACTGGAGCGAGTTCCAGGCAAAGGTTTGTGCGTCGGTCAATGTCACCCCATCCTCCTTGACTGCATCCACAATCTGAGAAACGACGTCCGCGTTGTGGTAATCGAATGTCCGATGAGCTCCTAGCGACTTGAGATATTCGTGGTTCTTCGCGCTAGCAGTCGTATAAACAACAAGGCCCATCTGTCTCGCAAACTGAATCGCCATCGTGCCCACACTACTCGCACCACCCCAAAGCAAGACCGCCCTCTTGTCCTCGGTTGTAAACCTTGCATCCAACGGGATACCAATAGTCGTAAACCCCGAAAGCGCTGCTAAACTCGCAAGCGGAAACACCGCGGCATCCTCAAAACTCAGACTCTCCGGCAACGGGATAACCCCATTCCAGCCCGCAAGGACAAATTCCTGAAACGCACCGTACTGCATCTTCCCCGTGTAGAACGAGGACGCCATTGCCGTGACGCGGGATCCTGGCTGTGGCGCGGAGTCTGGGACATCGGGGCCCGTTGAGACGACGATGCCGGATACATCGGACCCGATTACGGCGGGGTAGCTGGGGATCGGAGGGAAGCCTTTGTCGCGCTGGGCGGTGTCGACGGGGTTGATTGCGAGGGCTTTTACCTGGATGAGGAGTTCGCCTGGGCCTGGGGTTGGTGTTGGCACGGGTGACATTGTGAAGCGGGTGGTTTTGGCTTGCAGGAGGGCTGCGCGGTGGGTTGTCATGATGGTAATGATATAATGATATAATGATGATAATGATGCTTCTAGGAGCTTTTCGATGATGATTGTGTGATGATTGCAGAGAGAAGCAGAGGACATTTGTTATATTGTATGGATCCGATACAGAAGGCACGACCGGGCTTTAGCTGATAACTCCGAGCGGATTTAAGATCCAGCATACCTCCGACCCCACGGAATTTGTTTGCGAGGTCAATTCTGAAATCCAGCAATGGAGAGATACGGCCTCCTTTACAGAGAGTTATCAATCCCTAGAGGCCATGACCAATGTCAACCCCTCTGTAGTCTGTATAGGCCGCCCCGGGTTTCCGAAACCCCGTAGGGAAGAAATGTCCACTTCCCTCTGACAGATAGACATGGTAGCAGTCCAGGGGCTTTTGGAATTAGCCGAGTTCGATCTGTGCTCGGTCTATATTCCAAGCAGAGGGCGAGGGCGAGGGCGAGAAACGGAGCCCTAAGTACAGCTAGCAGGAGGATTGCCAATGTGAACTCTTTCTCGACTCCCTGTGTATAGGATTATAGAAGCAAACAAGTCCGGCTCGGCCAGGATTATTTTCAGTTTCTACTGTTCAGGAACAATTTAGTGGCAACAAGGCCAGGGTGTGCCCATGTTTTAGCCCAGGGCTGTTGCGTAGGGAGCCGATGATATGTGTGTATCTCGACGTCTCGATTTGGCGATTGCGGGCATCCGCCCAAGCTACGGTAATCTACCAAGTCCATATGGAGGATGAGGATGTAAGTAGGCCAGCTGAGTAGCTAATAGCCATTCTGTGAGTCCCCCTATTCGGGCTTTGGAAGCAGGGAAACATCCAAGGACTGTGGAGTTTGTCTCTTGGTAAAAACTTGCTTCGGGATTTCTTGATGGACACTCAAAGGAGTCGGTGTCAGGTCAGTATTTTCTTGGGGCCTTTGGGCTTTATGGCTTGTTTTCGGCCTTGGGATTGGCCTTGGATACTGGCCTTGGATGTTGGCCTATGGGCGTTGGCCTATGCCTTGTGGTTTTTGGCCTTTGACCTTTGGCTTTTGGAGTTGACCTTTGCATATGGGCCTTTTGATTTGGCCCTTTTGATTTGGGCCTTAGGATTTGACCTTTGGATTATGGCCTTTGGATTATGGCCTTGGGATTATGGCCTTGGGATTATGGCCTTGGGATTATGGCCTTGGGTTATGGCCTTGGGTTATGGCCTTGGGTTATGGCCTTGGGTTATGGCCTTGGGTTATGGCCTTTGGAGTTTGGCCTTTTGCTTTTGGAGTTGGCCTTTTGCTTTTGGATCTGAGCCCTAGAATTTGAGCCTCGGGATTAGGGGGCTTTGGTGTTTGGCCTTTTGATTTAAGCCTTTTGATTTGGGCCTTAGGATTTGGGGTTGGATTGTGGCCTTGTGATGTTGGCCTTTGCATATGGGCCTCTTGGTTTTGGCCTTTGGGTTTAGGCAAGGCCTTTTGGAATTAGGCTTGGGATGTTATGTTAGCCTTGGGATTTGGGCCTTACAGTTTTGGTTTTTAGATTGAGGTCTTTCAGAATTGGCCTTTGGAATTGGCCTTTGGATTTAAGCCTTGAGTTTTGGGCCTTTGGATTGTGGCCTTTGGATTTGGCCTTTGGATGATGGTCTTTGGATTTGGGCCTTTGCCATTTGGACGTTGGTTTTTGCCTTCAATTTCTGGATATTGGCCTTTGGCTTTTGGATATAGACCTTTTGATTTGGGCCTTTTGATATTGGCCTTTTGATATTGGCCTTTTGATATTGGCCTTTTGATATTGGCCTTTTAATATTGGCCTTTTGATATTGGCCTTTGGGATTTGGGCCTTTTGGATTTGGGCCTTTGGGATTTGGGCCTTGGGATGTTGGCTTTTTGATTTGGGCCTTGGATTTTGGGCCTTGGATTTTGGCCTTTGGGCTTTTGGTGTTTTGGTATTTTGACCTTTGGGCTTTTTCGGCTTTTGACTTTGCCTTTTTGGCCTTTGGCTTTTTTTGACTTTGCCTTTTGATTTTGCTCTTTAGCTTTGGCTTTTGCCTTTTGGTTTTTGCCTTTTGGCTTTTGCCTTTTGCCTTTTGGCTTTGGCTTTGGCTTTTAGCTTTGGCTGTTAGCTTTTTTTTTTTTTTTTTTTTTTTTTTTTTTAGCTTTAGCCATAAGTAATTTCAGGAAACAATGTCCGATAAGTGACTCAGTCAAAGAGTATGGATGAACGACGTCGTTTGCGCCGCCTCTCCCGCCGTCGCTCGGTGAAGAATTCAAGCGGACGATCAGAAGACTTATGGATCGCGCGGGGAGGGCAACACTTACAGAAGTAACGGATGCTACTCGCGGAGGTCGAGAGGAGGACGTGAGCGTGCTGGCTGGCGGCAGACGAGTCAGATTCAGACGGGGGTGCGAGAGCATGAGCTTCAGCATCAGCATCAGCAGAAGTGCAGGAAGTGGGGAGAGTCAATGTCATCCAGCCAACATCCTCAGACGGAATGACGGCGTCGTCTTGGTGCACTTCGCTTGCTTCGCTTGCTTCGTCTTCGCTTTCCCGCCGTCTGTCTGCGTCGAACTGCGCCTTTAGTTCCAGGTACAGCAGGTACACGCCTCTCTCGCTCCGGGTATACTTTACCTCGTCTTCGTCTTCCTCGTGCTCGGAGGTGGCGGGCTCGCGAGCGGGCTTGAGGATGCCCTTTTTGGGGAAGATGGCAGGGGGTGAGACTACAGCCATGGTTCTGTAGTCTGTGAGGTTAGTATGGAGTAGTGTAGTGTTGTTTCTGTGGTGTTGCTGGTGGATCCTCGGTTTGGAGTGGAGGATGGAGAGGAGAAGAAAAAAGGAGAGGCGAGGAGGGGAAAGGGAGCCTTAAATAGACTGAGCTTGGTCAGCCGGGACTGCAGTCCTTGTCTTCTACCTTTTTCTAGAGACTGTCTGTGATGCGTGTGGCGGTCGTGGTCGGATATGCATTCCAGCCCTAACTCAAACCTCCAGCAGGCTTTTTCGACCATCGTCCGGAAGTTGTCGGGGAGGTTCTAGCCTACAGTCCATCGGAATAAGGGAGCGGTCCATATCTCCATGCTTCACATGTCTTTTTCAACGGATATCATCACCGGAGTCTCTCATGGTGACTCTTCTGCTGCTCTAGCCACTCGTACTCCGGTTTACTGCTCTACTACACCTGAATCAGTTCAGTCCTGTACACCTCTGGCGCCAACCTATGTAGCGGTAAAGGCTATCTTGTGTTTAATGCTAATTCTTGATATTCATCTGTGACTTCCTGGTAATAGTCAGACCCCTAGCTTAAGAGACGCTATCTTGACCCTGAGCACTATAAGCCAGGAATGTCCGTCCAGGCCATCGACAGAACCACGGTTCAACCTCCAAGACGAGGGCTCGGAATCCATGCCTAGAATGTGCTTTCCGGAAATGTCCAAAGCGAGAATGCAGCTGTCACAAGCCGTTCAAAGAGGGCCTCGTGCATCTGCGTTCCGGGATTGCTAGTGACTCATTGTCCTTTTCCTCATGAGATCCGTTGGTGGGATTTGAAGGCTGTTGCATCATTGGTGCACGGCCAGGCCATACATTCCATCTCAGGCCCCAATGGTGTTGGACCCTGATGAAGCTTCGGCGATGGGGACTGCTGAAGTTCGTGTTCTGGCCTCAAATAGAAACAGTCACAGGAAATCAAAGGATGTCAGCCAACCCGTCGTCCGTCGCCATATCACTAATTTTGTTCCCGGCCACTGGCAACATGACACTGTGCTCCGGCGCCTGCGCCACTTGCAAAGGCGTATATTCCCGATCTAAATACCGAAATGTGCTCCCGGACTTGGAGAAGTGCACTTTCTGTACGCGGCGGGTAGGGGTAAGGCCTCCATCTCGCACTCCGCCAGCCTGCTGAACAGCCTTGCCCCTGGTCTTATCCGCCAAGAGTCGCCGATTTTTTATCCAGTCACTCCGTCTATACTTCACTTCGTCCTCCTCCTGACTAGCGTCGGACATTATAACATCGCCCTCCATGTCGACGTTCACCGACGGCCGGGCGGCTCTCAGTATCGACTTCTGCTTCCTGCGATTCGCGAGGTCGGGCGTCCTGGAGAGGGAGACAGCCATGCCCTGGTTAACCATTCCGAGATTGGAGGAGGGCAGAGTACGGAAATCCCCGCAATCTGGCAAAGTGACAGCGCGTGAATGGTCAACTGTGGTGAGACTTAGCGATTTGAATGCCTGGCTAATCTCCCCGCCTATGGAAGTGTCTGCCCTGCGATAAAACCGGCTGCTTGCGGATGTTGAGCCCTGGTTAGATTCCCTTTTGACCGGCTCGACCTGGCTGAGATTACCGGGCTGGCAAGAAGTGCGAGTCATTTTGACGCGAGCCATGTGAGGATTTAGTAGGAAGTGTGAAAGAGAGCTTCAAGCAAGTCCCGACGCCTGAAGAGTCAAAATCCACCTCAGTTCCCGAAGCTGGAGTAGAAGGAGAACGAGAGTAGTGAGGTAGCAAGAAACGACACGAACAAGCCAAAAGCCCATACCGTATAACACAAAATGATCAAGCAAACGAAAGCAAGAAAGAAGGCGGAAGGCAACAAGGAAAGACTCAACAAGGAAAGACTCCAGACTGACCCATTATCCTCAGTATCAAAGGTGCAGATAGCGGTAGCGTGTCCGTCTAGGCCCATGCGAAGAAGAAAACAAGATCCAAACCTCTGTTTCATCTCGGTAGCTTCTCGAGATCCTGTGCTTGTGTCCAGCTATCGAAGCCCGGTGGCAAGCATATGTGGAAATATAGAACCGCTCCAATGCGGCGAGAGTGCGCTCACCCCCTGCGGTCTTGGTTGGCGTTAGAAGCCTCCGGTACGTGAATAAGTGAAAGAAGGCGAGCGGGGGTCCAGGTAACCGTCGAGAGACTCCTCTGTAGCCAGCGGACCATTGTCACTGAGTAGAAGGGAATTCCATCGCATTATAGCGGGAAAATCGAAGACGAAATGGCAGAACAACTTCTTCACCGTTGTGTGTGAGTTCTAGGTCTTCCGGCGGATCTTGTACATTCAGAAAAGTAGACGCGATCCTCTTTCGTACGTAATCCGGGTATCTGATTGTCAGATTATGCGCACTAGACTGGGTGATGGAAGCGTTGCGGATGGAAATGCACGCACTCAGTGGTTGGGAAATCTTCAGGAAATCGATCGAACTGGTAGTTAGACTTCGTCTCTTAAATAGGATGGCCTAGTGAATTGGCTGTCGAATCCATTACCACGCGAACTTGCGCTAACCGTGGATGATAAGACGCGATTCCTTGCCATCGCTAGGCCTCTTGAGGCTGCATCGTTTCGAGATGTCGGGCAGGCTGCGCGAGCAAGTCATGGTGTGAAGAGGGCCCGGGAAGGCATGGGGCCGGGCTTGGACGAACGGTGGTGCCGTCGTCGCCTTACTAATGCACCATTAGAAGGGAAGATCGATTGTATACGGAGCTTTCAGTGACTGGAAAGGCTGCATAGGGCGGCCATGCTTTCTGAGACACTTACAGCGATGAGAAAATCCAGAGAAAATCCAAGGGCAAGGGGGCGGCGCGGAAAGCTTGGCAGATGATTGGGAGATGAAAATATAGATAGGTAAAATACAGGGGTTCGAATTTGAGATGGTAGTGTACATCAGGCAAATGATACTATACATGGAGTTAGATGCTTTAGTGCCATCTGCTATAGCAGTGCAGATCAGCAGTCCTTGGTTTGGGGAAGGCCGTTTAGATGATTCTGCGTTCCACATCGACGAAGAACCGACTGATGATTTCAGGACCAGAGTCTTGGTGTCCAGGATCTCATTTAATTTGGATAGCGGGTATGGTGTAAGTAGACGTAGCTGACGTTTACTGCTCAGCTGACCCAGAGGGTAGAGAGTGAGGCGCCCACGAGAGCTCACCGTTAGGCTTCTCTTCCTGCACAGACTGAGACTTCGGCTCAAGCCCCTTCTCCTTCATCACTCTAAGAGCAACAGGAGAAAGAGCACCAGGCTCGGTCGTCAGCCGTTTTGCCTCCTCAAGCCGCCTAAGAGTCTCCGTACGCCCCAGGATGAAAAGCGACTCTGCAACGCTCGGTCCGTGAGCACCGCCCAATAAGGCCCAGCGCATGTAATGGTACAGTTCCCTCTGGAAGGCCTTCTTCGCCTTGCTTCCTTCAGAGGCGTTGTGTTCCTTGGAACCCCTGAGAATTGCGCCGGCGCAGTCGTAGGAGGCGAAAAAATTGGCTTTAATATTGTTTAGAGTCCAATGTGATTCAGGAAGGAGGGTCACCGCTGCGGCGGCCGTGTGGAGCGAGGATAATGGGATCTCCCACTTTGTGCCTTCGGTTTGGAAGCTAAATGGCGGGCGGGAGATGGTTGTTGTGAAGAAGGCAAAGTTGCGAGCGACGAATTCAGGTGCGTTGGTGTAGTTTTTGGCGTCTCCTTTGACGAGCGGGGTGACCATTTGTATGAGACGGCGGTTTTGGAGGATCTGTGATAACTCTTCTGGTGACGCCGTTGACCTGACAGCTTTGGCAACGGCGGATGTTATCTCGTTGAGTTGCTCCAAGCCCTTGTCGCTATAGCGCTGGGCGTGTGCGGATTGGAGGAACCAAAGCTTCGAGAAAGCGACGATGGTGTTGCCACGGGTGAATTTCATGTTGAACTAACAACTTAGCCTATGACTGCGTGGGTAGGTTGTGGTGGCCTTACTATCTTCTGAAGCTCCTCCAGGCTAAATATATCTTTCTTCTCATTGTGGGACCACCCCAGCAGCACGGCAAAGTTTAACAGAGGCTCCGCAAGTATACCCTGGTCTCTGAAATGTGAAATATCGATATCGGCGTTGCGCTTGCTAAGCTTTTGCCCAGACTGGTTTACCAACAAGGGTACGTGTGCGAATACTGGCTGCTGCCAGCCAAATGCTGTGTATAGTAGGGCATGCAAATGAGTAGACGACATCCATTCCTGAGTGCGTCAGTACGTTTCGAATAAGTCCTGAGTCACAACTTACCGTGCCTCGGATGACGTGGGTGATTTCCATGAGATGGTCATCCACAACGTTCGCCAGATGATATGTAGGGAAGCCGTCGGATTTGATCAGGATCGGGTCCTCGTAGACACGGTCGATAAGATCCAATTGTGGAGGCGGAGCCTTTTGTTTTGGTCTGCCGTATACGGCTTCCTTGAAAAGTACGAACTGGTCGAGGCGTTCATTGACCTTCAGTCGGACGACATGCGACTCTCCCCGAGCTGCCCGTTCTTCCGATTGCTCATGCGCCAAACCTTCACATTTCCTATCATACCCTGGAGGAAGGCCCGCCTCGCTGCGATGTTTCGCCAGTGCTTCGAGACGGTGCGCGGGACAGAAGCACCGGTATGCGAGGCCGCGTTCTATCAGCTCTTCAGCATGCTTGCGGTAGATATGCGTTCGTTCAGACTGCATGATTAGCCACGGCTTTGGTGAGGAAAAAAGCGCCGGACGCACACACCTGTCGATATGGACCGAAATTGCCTCCAACAAGAGGACCTTCCAACCCCATCAGCATCCCTACCGCTAGAACTAACTGTGGCATTTCGTACCTTCATCCCATTGTAACCCAGCCCACCTGAGATCATAGTAGAGTCTTTGCTCTGCGTCGGGAATCGTCCGTTTCTAGTGTATCCGATCGGTCAGCGTCCGTTTGGCAGAGGTATCGCAGGGCCCGTCGCACCTGATCCGTATCTTCGATTCGGAGAATGAACTGGCCCTTCGTGCGCTTGGCCAGCAGGTAGTTGAACAACGCTGTACGGAGCGATCCTAAATGGAGATACCCCGTCGGCGACGGCGCAAATCGCGTCCGCACTGGGCTCAATGGAACTTTGTTTTCGTGTTTGATGGGGATGGTGACATTGTGCGAGTGACGACATTGCATGCAGACCCAGGACCGGCGGGCCAGAAGCCCAGAGCGTAGGCTTCTCATGTTGAAGAAATGCGCAGGGAAAGCAGGATTGTAGCTGGCGATTGCGGCGGATGGTCGTAGGAGAGAGACAAATGTGGAGGCGGCGAGCAGAAGCAAAAAAGATAAGGCGGAATTTTCGGGCTCAGCGCCAGCAACACTTCCTCCATCAACAACTCTCCAACATCATATACCTTTTTATTCTATTCTTTTGTCTCTTCTATATTCGCGTATAGATACCCCGTCACTGTTTAGTTGGAACTTCCTCAACGCCCTTAGTACGCTCCAGCTTCCAGCTCGAACCGCAGCCTGCTAACTGATTGTCGCAGTGTCCTCCGCACAGGTTGACCTCTACGGTAACTATCCTTCACTTGCGCTTCCTATACACTGTGGCTAACGAGCCGTGCGCTAGAGGTCCTTCAAGTCTCCCGCGAGGCATCCCAAGATGAGATCCGAAAAGCCTACCGCAAAGTACAACCCCGAATCCGGCTCAACCGAACCAACTAACACAAGTCTAGGCCGCCTTACAAAACCACCCCGACAAATTCCCCGAAGAAGAGCGAGAAGCCGCGTCTGTCCGGTTCCAGGATGTTCAACAAGCCTACGAGATCCTCAGCGACGATGATAAGCGACACCTCTACGATACACACGGCATGGGCGCCTTCAACGGCTCTGGCGAGCCGGGGATGAACGGCGGCCCCGACCTCGATGATATCCTTGCGCAGATGTTCGGCATGGGAGGTATGGGCGGTATGGGTGGTATGCCCGGGATGGGCGGCATGCCGAGGCCACGACAGAGTCCGGACGAGGAGCAAAAGTACGAAGTGAGCTTGGAGGAACTATACAAGGGCAAGACGGTGAAGTTCGCGAGCACGAAGAACGTCATTTGCGGCCTGTGCAAGGGCAAGGGCGGCAAGGAGCGCGCGACGGCGAAGAAGTGTTCTACGTGTGATGGGCAGGGTACGCTTCTTCCACTACACCCACTAGGAGTATGCGGCTGATGGTCTATAGGCTACAAGGAGGTGCTCACCCGCATGGGTCAGTTCCTGTCCAAATCCACCCAGCAGTGCACAACCTGCAACGGCGACGGCCAGTTCTTCGCAACCAAGGACAAGTGCAAGAAGTGCAAGGGCAAGAAGACCACCGAGGAGAAGAAGATTCTGGAGATCTACATTCCCCGCGGAGCAAAGTACGTCCCTCCACCCACATACCAGGACCAGCTCTAACAAACCCAGGAACGGCGACCGAATCGTCCTAGAGGGCGAAGCCGACCAAGTCCCCGGCCAAGAACCCGGCGACATCGTCTTCCAGCTCGAAGAAGAGGAACACCCCGTCTTCACGCGCGCCGGCGCAGACCTCAAGGCCACCATCGACATCACCCTCGCCGAATCCCTCACGGGCTTCTCCCGCGTTGTCCTCAAACACCTCGACGGCCGCGGCATCGAACTCTCACACCCTAAACCCGGCCACCCCCAGATCCTCTCCCCCGGCCAAGTCCTCAAAGTCCCCGGCGAGGGAATGCCGATCAAGCGCTCCGACTCCCGCGGCGACCTGTACCTGATCGTGAACATCAAGTTCCCCGACGAGACCTGGAAGCCGACGCCCGCTGTTCTGGAACGACTCAGGGAGATGCTCCCCAAGCCGGCTCCCGCTATCCAGGCGGAGACCATCGACGAGGTCGAGTACGACCCCAAGGCCGATGTAGAGGACTTCGGGTCGAAGGATCCCTCTGGTGGTGATGCGTGGGAGGATGACGAGGAGGAGGGCGAGGGGGCGCAGTGCACGACTCAGTAATCCGACGTCCTGTCATGCTTTTGGCATTGTGGACTGCTTGCTTGTTATTTGATACCATCTCTCTCTGCGCCAGAGGAAATTCATGACACGATAGATTAGATGCACCACTCTCATCTCCGGCATTGTGGCGTTGGGGTTGTTGTTCGGGTCCGCTGCGTTGGGTTTATGATATGCTACGATTATGGATATAGGGCTTTTGTCCCGCCATTCTCACCACTCTCGTTATTCCCTTCCTAAAACTGGTCATTGTAACCCGGTGACCATCACAAGACAATCTCATTGTGCGGGGGTTCTCCACCTCCCCGGCCCCGTCCTCCTTCCCCGGATATCGTATCGACTTTGGCCCTTCCGACCTCAAGCTCCAACAACAGAGTCAGACTGAGACTCCGCTACGCATGCACGCGTCCAAATAATTGATACCCCGCGGCAATCATAAACAACGCGCCCCCAGAAGTCCTAATAAACTAGACAGCGGAAACGAGCTCTCCCCCTCGGATTCGCCATCGGAAGCGTCGTATGCGTACCGGTAAGCGTATGCAAATGCAACGATCCTATCCCAAACCGCCAGTTTTCGGAAGTGTACTTCGCATCTAGGACATAACCAGCTAGATAGCAAACCTTACGTCCTGACTATTCACCTGCGATGTCTCGAATGAGGCAAAGAGCGCCCAAATTCGCGATTCACACGGAGATCCCCCCGCATATCGCGCATCCCCGCAAGACATGGCCGACCCCGCTCCCTGCACCCAGCGTCACAGGTAGAGGAGTTGGAGACTGTGCAGGACGTTGGCGAATAGGCGGTGCGTATTGCTAAGCGTTGACCCTGTCGATAGTGCAGATTATATCGGAAACGGGACGGGTGCAGCTCGGAAGGGTGAGATGCTAGTTGGAGCCTGGGCGTGAGATGTCGGACCGATGAGCTGCTCACCTGGAGGAGTCTGCAGGTTTAGGTAGTGCTAGCTAGCTACAGCCTATATAAGTCTGTCTCTCCTGGTAGTGAGCGATGCTCTGAGATCAATGTTATCTATCTCCTGTCCACACTGAACAACGACCCGACCATGCCCGCCATTCTATCCACCCTTCAATCTACGGCCCTCCCCCTTCCTCTCCTTCTCCTCTTCACCTTCCTAGCCCTTCGCCTCCTCTGGCGCAGATTCGGCTCAGGCCTATCCGGCATTCCCGGCCCAGCTCTGGCAAAATGCACACGGCTCTGGAAGCTGCATAGCGTCTGGAAGGGCGATCACCATCTGACGGAAATAAACCTGCACAGACGCCATGGGCCGCTCGTGCGTATCGGGCCACGACATGTCTCCGTTGCGGATCCAAAGGCCATTCCTGTGATTTATGGGTTGAATAAGGGATTTACCAAGGTACGTACTTACGTGCATGGCTGTTTCTCCATCGGCCAATGGGACTGGTACTGATATCAATCCAAAGACGGGCTTCTACCCGATCCAATGCATATCCTGGAACAAAAAGCCGCAGATGAACCTCTTCTCAACCAGAGACGAGCAGTTCCACCGGGACCAGAAGCGGCCCGTCGCAAACGCATACAGCATGACGTCTCTGCTGGAGCTCGAGGGCGCCGTCGACAGCTGCACAGAGCTCTTTCTCTCTCGGCTCCGCGACTTCGCCGACAAGAAGCGCCCCGTCGATCTGGGGACCTGGCTGCAATACTACGCCTTCGACGTCGTCGGCGAATTCAGCTTCGCGAAGAAACTAGGTTTCCTGCAGGAAGGCCGCGACGTCGACGACATGATGGCGGGCATACAAGGGATCCTGGCGTACGCCAGTCTCATCGGGCAGATTCCCGAGGCGCACAAGGTTTTACTCGGGAACCCGCTGTTCCCGATCCTGATGCCGAGCATGGAGAGCTGGAACCAGGTGTTGCAGTTTACGCTGAAGCAGGTGAATTCGCGGACGAGTTTGTCGCGGGATGGGGAGCTTGATAAGGGGGATCTCGAGAAGGGGAAGGACATGCTGAGTCGGTGGATGGCGATCCACGTTTCTGATCCGGAGAAGATGAGCACGCGCGATGTGATTGTGCATCTGTCGACGAATGTCTTTGCGGGCTCGGACACGACGGCCATTGCGCTGCGGGCGATTGTATATTTCCTGCTGAAGAACCCGGAGAAGATGGACAAGGTCGTTGCGGAGATTGATGCCGCGGATGGCGCGGGACGGCTGAGCAGCCCGATCTCGTACAAGGAATCGATGGCGCATCTGCCCTACCTCGCGGCCGTGGTCAAGGAAGCGATGAGACTTCACCCGTCCGTGGGGTTGATACTGGAGCGACATGTCCCGGAGGGTGGAATCACGATTTGCGACAGGCATATCCCGGCCGGGACGACAGTTGGCATCAACGCGTGGGCGCTGCACCATGATGCCGAGGTGTATCCAGATCCTGGGGCGTTCATTCCAGAGCGGTGGGTGGAGAGTACGCCGGCAAAGCTGAAGGAGATGGAGCAGAGCTTCTTTGCGTTTGGGGCGGGGTCAAGGACGTGCGTGGGGAAGAATATCTCGCTCATTGAGATGCATAAGATCATCCCGCAGTTGCTGAGGGATTTTACCTTTCGATTGCATAAACCAGGTCAGGAGTGGACGACGAAGAATGCTTGGTTTGTGCAGCAGGAAGGGCTGGTTTGTGCTCTTGCGAGGAGGAGATGATGTACCGGGGCAATTGGTAGTATAGCAGTCAATGTCATGCGAATTCGCAGTCCTATAGCTTGAGCGGCAGTCTCCAATCGTAGAAGCAGCCATGGTATGGGCAGCTTTCTTTTGAGTCGTTATGAGCAGATCTCGTCGGTACGTGCCGGGCCTGCTGCCTATCTCGTTCAATCTCCCCTTGCAAGATGCATTCGTGGCGTTACCCCCATCTCCGTAGGTGGGTAGGACGGGAACACCACAAGATCGGGTGTTAGCAAATGACGCGGAGATCAAACGCCAGGGTCAGATCGAAGGATTCGAACAGCCGGTCATGATTGGGCCAAGCCCTGCTTCTACACGAACACGTTGGATATGGCAAAAGCCCCATGTTGCTTTTCCTGCGCCCTGCGCCATTTACATGCAAGTACGTAGTACACAACAGTAAGACCTTGGAGACTCGCTAGCCTTGCGCTTGATATTCGAGTCATGATTCTGATGGGCAGCCAATGGCCACTCCCGGTCAGCGTTGCTTTTGCGGCTGAGGTTGGAACGGACAATGACCCGATAGACGGTGTACTAGGAGTTCGAATCAACATCATCCGAGTAACAAGACACACATTGCATCGGTGATCTGGATCAATGACAAGTCCCGCGGAATTGCTATGACGTCTCTGGCCTTTAACAGAGTGGATGCTGGCAACAGAGCGAAACCCCCACGCTCTTCTCCAGAGTCGGAGTCGCGTGGGGTACCTGTTCCGCAACTGGGGTCTGGGTCGGAACCTCAGTCACCAAGGCCATCCCTGCCCCAATCCGAGCCGAGAAATGAGGTCGAAAATTGAAGAATATGAGGTTCGGTAAATGAAGTCCGAGCAGCCAGTCATCTCCCGACTATTTAAATCGTCCCTCTCGCAGTGCTGTCGAGTCAGGAGGCAACAAAGCAGCACTTCTCGGCTGTCTGCATCGGACATTCGCCGGTCTTGCAAGGTTCGGCTGCAACCCCACTACAGACGTTTAGCCGGGCACGCGATCTTATAAGGTACGCCGGCTCGCCTACCAGGATTGCGAGATATGTAAACCAAGCAGTCCTAAGAATATAGACCACTCGATTATGCCTTGCGAGTCGAAATGCGAGGGCTGCGCCTGCGGCAGCCAAAGCCAAGGCGTGGTCAACATCGAAGACCTCGACAAGGAGCTAGATGCCCTCCGGAAGCGAACGCTGGAGCTGGAGAAAGTCCGCGCATCAGCCAAGAAGGCCTCATCGCTAACCGGTGCACTCGGTGCCGGCCGGAAGCTGCGGTCGACCAATTGGTTCAACTCGGGCGATGCGGGGATGACCGCGCTTTATATCGAGCGGTATCTGAACTATGGCGTTACGAGGGAGGAGCTTATGGCTGGGAAGCCGATTATCGGGATTGCGCAGACGGGCTCGGATATCTCGCCGTGCAATCGGTACCACATGGAGCTCGCGAAGCGAGTACGAGAAGGCATCAGGACTGCAGGCGGTATCGCCTTTGAGTTTCCTACGCACCCAATTCAGGAGACGTCAAGACGGCCGACTGCGTGTATTGACCGGAATTTGTCATATCTTGGACTTGTGGAGATTCTCCACGGATATCCTATAGATGGTGTGGTGCTTTTGACCGGGTGCGACAAGACAACACCAGCATGTCTGATGGCCGCTGCCACCATGGTGAGCACAGCATAGATTGCTATGTTTTATGAGTACTGACGATTGAAGAACATTCCCGCCATTTGCATGAACGTGGGGCCCATGATTAACGGCTACCTAAAGGACCAGCTAGCAGGCTCTGGCATGGTGGTCTGGACGGGAAGAGAGATGCACGCCGCGGGCGAACTGAATGACGAGGGATTAGTGGATCTGATTTCCCGGGGGTACGTCCAAATTGGCTTCTTCAGGCGCAGTCACTGACGTACGAAGAGCACCATCAGCAGGACACTGCAACACCATGGGGACGGCATCCACAATGAATGCACTCGCAGAAGCCCTAGGAATGGCTTTGCCAGGTTCGGCCGCCATCCCCGCTCCTTATCGCGAACGAGCCCAATGCGCGTATAAAACCGGTTTACAGATCGTGGAAATGGTGCATTCAGACCGGAAACCAAGTGATATTATGACGCGCGAGGCTTTCGAAAATGTTATTGCTGTCAATACTGCTATCGGCGGCAGCACAAACGCCCCTATCCACATCAACGCCATTGCAAAGCACATGGGTGTCGATATTTCGCTTGATGACTGGGACCAACTGGGCTTCAACATTCCACTTCTGCTGAATATGCAGCCAGCGGGAGAATATCTGGGCGAGGAATACTATAGGGCCGGTGGGCTTCCAGCTATCATGGCAGAGCTTCTAGATGCCGGGAAGTTACACTCGGACATTCTTACTTGCAACGGACATACCGTAGCTGAGAACGTGAAAGGTCAACACAGCTGGGACCGCCGGGTCATCAAACCATACAACGAACCCCTCATGAAGGACGCAGGATTCGTGCATCTCCAAGGAAGTCTGTTCGAATCCGCCATCATGAAGACGTGCGTCATATCAGAGCAGTTCCGGCAGAGTTTCTTGGAGAATCCAGACGACCCTAATGCCTTTGAAGGGGCGGTTGTCGTGTTCGACGGACCAGAAGACTACCACAGCCGATTGGAGGATGCTCCTATTGACGACAAGAGTATTTTGATAATGCGCGGGGCTGGTCCATTAGGTTATCCTGGCGCGGCCGAAGTTGTCAACATGCACCCCCCTGGACACCTGCTGCGACAGGGAGTCAAGTCGCTACCATGCATAGGAGACGGTCGACAATCGGGAACTTCCGGGTCACCGTCCATCCTTAACGCAAGCCCTGAAGCAGCCGCTGGCGGCAACCTTGCACTGCTTCGTGACGGAGATAGGCTCCGCGTTGACCTCAACAAGCGACGAGTGGATATCCTTGTTTCGGAGGAGGAACTAGACAAGAGACGAGCAGCCTTGGAGGCTTCAGGAGGTTACAGTATCCCAGAGAGCCAGACGCCGTGGCAAGAGCTCTTTAGAAAGGAGACTAGCCAGTTGAACGAAGGTATGGTGTTGCGGGAGGCGGTAAAGTACCAGCGGCTGGCACAGCGCGATGAGTCTCTTCGCCATAACCATTGAGTACCCTATGGAGTACAGATTATGTGCAGGGTGGTTCATGCAAGGGTTGCCCATCGCATGGTTGTTATCGAGATTAGGCACCCATCAAAAGAAATCCAAGTTCTCGGCCATTCTTGTGTAGCGCCACTCTATCTCCTGACTTCAGCCAGGAGATTATCAGGGAAATCTTTCATGGCGGTCGTCAGTACTCCGTCCGATGGTTCGAGCTCATAAGCGAATGCAATCCGTATGGCAGGGAGCAGGATTGCGAATCGAAGATCCCGGGTGTGGTCTTCGCTCGCTTGCTACGTATCAGTAATCGTAGTCTCGGAGATGCAAGCCAGCGCTTACCAGTCGAGGACTCGAGGCAGCGTAGATAATAAACCGGCCTGGGCACGACTAGCGGTCACAGCCGGTAGTGGTGGACAGCGGCATGAGAATGGAAGAGCCGGGCTGGAACCGCTGGATGCATGGCCATTCCTGCAGGAAGAAGGGGCGCCAAGGGGCCAAGTATTCTTCTTTCAACGAGCTGCGTTTGTCTGATCCCAGCTGCCTGGAACGAGACGCCTGGCTTGGCCAGCCAATTGATCGGCGTCGACAGGCACATGGCAAGCTCTGGCAGATAACGCAGGCCGACTCTTTCAGTTGCGATCAACAGTGGCGTAAAGAAACTTCTCCTGGCAAGCACTCTCTATCATCCTCGACGATTATTGACGACTCTTTTACCCGGACGTACGGAGGAGCCTATAGAAAGCGGACCCCTAACTATTAGTGTGGGATTGGACATTAGACTGCGTACTCTGTGGCTGTGTATTCTGTGGCTTACCAGACAGATGTACTCCGTATTCACGACACTTCAAGCTGTCCATGGTCCAAGTGCCGAAGGTGACTCGATACTTCCGGGCATGTAGTTCCGCTGAGTAGAGGCTGATAGATACTCCGTCCTCGTAGGGATCCGGAGTATGATTGCGAGTTAGGCACCAGCACAGCTAGCTCAGATTCGAATCATTTGATGCAAGAGGGAGTGGGTCTGTAGAGAAAAGCAGAGCTTCCAAGGTTGTGGTGGAGGGACTTCCCGTCGGAAATCGCGTCCCGCCGTAGCTGAGACCTTAGTCTTACAAATTTTCACTCTCCACCAAGCCACAACTGACCTCACCATCAGTCAACTCAGAGTCATTTTCGAACTCAGACCGCTCCTCTGCTAGTTTTTAAGGCTGCCTGCCCTCTTCCTTTCCTTTCGTTCCTTCTTCTTGACAAACAATCAGCATGCGCTTTCACCAATCAACTGCCCAGACTCTATCATGCGCCCCTGACGAGCCGTAAGAATAGCTGCATCCCTGTGCACCGTGCAGTTGCGATCACCGCTACTCCTGCAGCCCATTCTTCCTCGTCGTTCTATTCCTAGCCTCGTGTGACAGACCGAGTTCGAGGCTTCGAAGTTCGAGTACCGACACCGAGCCTCCTTTCTCACATTCCTCCGCCGATATCACTCCGTCTTCTCGGCCCGGTCTCGATCTCTGCCCTATATCATCCCCTGCGTCTCACCACGACCTGCAAGTCTCACACAGATTCCTCGCTTGAGCACCTGGCATATTCGCCTCCCAATTCTTGATCAATACAACCCTGGGAGTACCAAGAGCATTGCAGCGACGGTACTGAACCCATCAAACATCTCTTGTTGTCTCGTGATATCAAGGCCTTCATTCCATATCCTTCAAGATGGACATCCACATATAACCCTGTTGGACGTGTCCTTGTTATCTTCAATTCTTTACATCCCGAAAAGTGAGCGTTTAGTTCTTGTTACGCACCTACGATACCCACCATTTCTCTTTTACGACTGAAAGCTACCGGTAGCTTCTCATAATCAACTCCAATCGCCATGGCGCCCAACCTGTTTCTCTGCCTGCGCACTATCTTCTGTCCTACCTACTGGTTCCAGCGTGGACACCGCATCCAAGGCTCAATCGCCCGCGAAGAGCACTGGGACTCTCCCGTCCCGGGCATCTACAAGTACATCCCCAGTCAAGGATGGCATCTCGTCTGCCGCGACAGCAGCGACTACGATGAGAAAGTCCCCGCCCCTGTTGTCTACTGCCGGATCCTACACCGGTACATTTTTGAGGACGAATTCGACGAACGATGCCGCTGGGATACTGTGATTCTGGATGATGGCCAAACCGAAAAGTTTCTCTTCTTCCAGCTCGACGACGGATTCACCTATGTTGCCGGATGGGACTCGAAGGGGAAGTTCATCCCCGGTCCGTACCAGCGCTGGTACCGTGACCCGGTCACCAAGTCTATGCAAAAAGCCCTCTTCCCTCCGAGCTCGAACGTTTCCCGAGTGAGCATCATCCCGGACAAGCTCAACTAATGCAATGATGCAACATTTCACCCAACTCAAGACAAGTCGAATTTTTAGCTGGACTTCAAATGGGCTGAACGACTACAATAGATTCATGTTTTACGGTTATGTCTGCTTTCTGTTCTCGGATTTTTCTATAATTTGGTTCGCGATGTTATCTTTTGATGTTTGCTTATTCTATTATGGTGTTCGGTCCGGGATAGAAAAGCGATAGAAAGGGTTCCTTGTCAGCGTTGCTATCGTTCTTTTTCGATACCTACTACTCTTCTTCCAACTTCTTCTCATCTATTCTTTCTTACCTTCTCGTTTGCTCCTCTTTTTATCTTACTTTCTTAATAAGATAATCCGGATATCTTCCTTCTTACAGAACGTCAAGTCAAGAACCATGGATGAAGTTCATATGGATTCATAGATAACCGCTCCTAGACCAGCTCAGAGCGCAATAGCTTCCCATGCAATTATATACCTCTATATCTTCCCCAGTTTCCAAAAATCAAATCTTACTCGTCTCATTGACAAGCAATCTCCCCAACGCCTCCCTAATCCCTCTCTCCATCCCGCCCTTCGCCGGCCTCATAACACCCCTCTCACACCAAACATGCGTATACCCCCCAACAACCTTGACCTCCTCCTCACCCTGCTTAAAAACACCCACCTCATACGTAACGCTCGTCGAACCCAGCTTATTCACCCGCAGCCCTAATTCCAGGATATCCGGGTACGAGACGGAGGCGAAGTAGTCGCAGTAGGAGTTGACCATGATCGCGACCTGGCCGGAGGGGTTTATGTCGTTCTTTGGAGGTGTGGGGGAGCCGTAGCTGAAGGGGTCCATTCCGCAGTGAGAGATCAGGTAGGCGTTTATGATGGAGTCGAAGAGTTGCGCGTAGATTGTGTTGTTGAGGTGCGCGTACATGTCGTTGTCGTGCCTGTATTTCGAGCAGTTTAGTTAGCTGGTTTTGATGAGTAGGAGGGAAGTGGTGCGAGTACCATCGTGTGCGGTAGGTCTGGTGGAAGATGTAGTCGGAGCGGGTGCGGCGGCGCTTGAGGGGGGTTTCGTTGGGCATTGTGGGTTTGGTTCTGGGTTTGATGCTCTATTGAATCGAGTATATGTGCGATTGTCGCTTATTACTATTGAGACTACCGGCAGGTCGAAGGAAAATATGCAGATTGCGTTCAGGTGAGGTGATATCGAAATGTTGAAGGCTGAGAGCTCACTTCCGCGGGGAGACGAGCCGAGGTCCAGATGATGCCGTCATTGTTGATAGTGCACTCAATCTCAATTCATGCATGCAAAATTATCCTGTTCATATTGCCTCAAATTAAATATGTCTATACAGATCGTTTGAGGTAGTGTCTGCTGTCTAACTTGTCTAACTGTGCAATGAGATATATATATACGTGGTTCGAGTTGTTTCCACCTTAATGTCTGAGGCAAGGCCCGATCTAGTATATGTTCCGACACTTTAACTCTCAGAAGCACGAATCCATCAACAATCGTATAGTACCCGCCGCTCAGAAGACCGTTGCCCAATCTGATTGAGAACATTCATGCCATCTGCAAAATGAACCCAACAGGAGTCGGTGTCGGTTTCGGCGTGGAGATAGAATGGACTCCGGACATAATGAGCTGTGCCTGCCTCTTCCGGTAGCCACCGTGCTTTCCTGACTGAACTCTTAAAAGTCCTTCTCTCATCCATCGCGAACGGTTCTCTTTTCCTTCATCATCTTCCGCTTCCAATCCAGGGGCATGTCTTCAGGAATGTTTATCTAATTATCAAGTATGCTGCATGTTTAAGAAGTATACATTCCTCACCCGCTCATTTATATTGCCATCGTCGACGCCCAACTATTTACCATTACTCCGTACTACCTCTTTTGAACCCACGCCACCATGAGTCCATCATCATGCTGGCTCAGTCTTGCCGGCCTAGCCCTCCTGGCTACCGGCAGCAATGCACTACTCCCTAGCCGTGCTGATATCGAGACCACCTTGCAGAGTCGGCTTTCCGAGGGCGCAGAAATCTACTTCCCTGACGAAGAGGTCTTTGAGCTAGCGACGGAGAGATGGTCGTACTATCACCCACCAAACTTCACTGTTGTTGTCGAGGTTGCTGAGGAAGAAGATGTGGCTATGGCTGTAAGTTTCTCACGATACACGGTTGAAACATAGCTGACAAGATAGATCAAATACGCCAATGCGAATGAAATTCCCTTCCTTGCGGTCAACGGTGGCCACGGCGCGATCTCATCCTTGTCGAGGCTTCATCAAGGTATGGAGATTTGGATGCACAAACTTAATTCGTTTGAGATCGCAGAAGATGGTCAGACGGTCACGCTTGGAGGTGGCATCAAGTCGTCGGAATTGATCCCAGCTCTCTTCAAGTATGGAAAACACACTGGTAAGCCGGCCTCGCATGAGTCAGGACCAGGCTAATGTTCGCAGTTCATGGCGTTTGCGAGTGCGTTAGCTATCTCGGACCAGTCCTAGGTGGTGGCCACGGTACGATGCAAGGCAAGTACGGCATGGGTGCCGACCAAATCGTATCCTTGCGACTTGCCACGGCAGAAGGTGAGATCATCACCGTCTCAGAAGATGAAGGAGACGAGGATCTGTGGTGGGCCATGCGAGGCGCAGGCCACAACTTTGGAATCGTAACCTCGGTCACTTCGAAGATTTACGACGTTCCAGAGGGAGGCAAGTGGGCATACGAGCAGCTCATGTTCACCGGTGACCAGTCCGAGGAACTGTTTGAGATCTTCAACGAGCTCGCTGATATCCAGCCGCCCGAATTCTTCGTTTGGACATACCTCGTCCGCATTCCAGACATGGATCCTGAGAATGTACGTCTTCCTCTCATTCTTGATGAACCCGGCTAACATCCCAGCCTATTTACCTTGCCAACTTCATGCGCGAAGGTCTTGACGAAATCGAGCCCGAACTCATTGACCCCTTCCGCGAGCTCTCGCAGGTTCCTGCACTTGCCAAAACCGTCGGCCTCTATACCGACATTCCAAGGTGGATCAACACGGCCGTAGGCTCGAGAGGCTGCGCAGCTGAGGCCAACAAGGTGCGTTTCCCAATCAGTTTCCCGCGCTACGATCCCCGTGCGCAGAGGGAGTTATTCGACGTCTTCGCAAACGGTACCGCAGAGGGTTCGCCTTTCAACACTTCTATGGTCCTTCTTGAGCAGTACTCAGCGCAGGGCGTCGAGTCAAAGCCTGAGAACGCAACTGCGTACCCTCATCGGTTCGACGACTTGCTGGTCTCTCCTGTCATTGCCTACCTATCTGACGGCGACGAGGAAGAGGAGGACGCCTTGGAGTTTGGTGATGTGCTGCGAGACATCCTTTTGGAAGCCACCGATAACCCTACCGAATTGCACGCATATGTCAACTATGCTTCTGGAGAGGAGGGAGTCCGGGCGTGGTATGGGTATGAGCCGTGGAGACTTGAGAAGCTCCAAGAGGTGAAGAGACGCTACGATCCCGAGGAGAGATTCTCCTTCTATGGACCGATTCCCCTGACAGAAGAACTCACTGAGTAGAGGTCACTCTTCTATCGCTATGTATTATTAGCCCTATCCTTAATTGTTGGCGAGAGAAACTGTGGACGTACGTGGTCTTGGTAGATAAGAGGGCGAAAATAATAAATTTCCTGTGGCGTCAGGAACATGATCCGCGAAACAATTTGTTCCCCTCTTCTATCCATAATTTCTAGCAAGCAACGCACAACCCC